CATTTATCCTAGCAGTCAGTGCTCCCATTTTTTATTGCACCTCATTAATAGCTTTTTAAATTTTGACTTGGTTAGATTTTAGTTCTTTTATTTCTCCAGAAAGGGTTTCTCTAATAACGTCCATGCTTTTTTCAAGCCCAGCTAGTATCTTTAAAGTGATGATTCTGAACTCTAGATCTGACATTGTGCTAATGTCTGTATTGAGTAGATTCCTGGCAGTTGGTACTACCTCTTGTTCTTTTTGTTGAGGTGATTTTTTCCATCTTGTCATTTTGTCCAGAGGATAATAGATGAATGAGAGAACAAAATACTAACAGGGTAACAACATCCCCAGAAAATATACTCTACACCATTCAGAAAAGACCTGAAGCCAGGGGAAAAGAAAGGGAAAGAAAGAAAAAAGAAAAAGAAAAAGAAAAAAAAAAAACAAAACAAAAGGAAAAAGATAAAAACAAACAAAAACAGAACAAAACAAAACAAAACAAACCAGAATATGATCAAATATGATCAGGCTGGTGCATAGATTAGTGCCACACACTAGATTTTGGGTGTATTTTGGTCTGTTAGAAGGAAGTGCCTCCCAAAATTTTAAAAGAAGAAAAACTTATATATGTACAAAAATAAGGGTTGATATGATAAAGGGATGGAATATGACTGTAAAGATGAAAATTATAAAAAATTTTATAAAAGGAATTGATAAGAAGTTGTTTGAAAAATGCAAGAAGAGGATTTAAAAAAAAAAGAAAAAAAAAGGGAGAGAATATGATCAGGCAGGAGACTAGAACAAAACCATACACTAGAGATTTAGGGTAAAGAGAGAACAACTTATATATATATATGCCAAAAATAAGGGTAACTACTATGAAGGGATAGAATATGACTCTAAAAATGTAAAATAAAAATGTTTTTTAAAAAAGGGATTGATAAGATGTTGGTTGAAAAAGGGAAAAAGAAAAATTAAAAAAAAAGGCAGTTAAAAAAAATTAACTTTGAAAGACTAAAGAATCATGGTAAAAAAGCCATGGATTCTATGTGCAGTATTCCCCTAGTGCTGGAGTTCTGCCGTTCTCATTGATTGGTAAACTTGGTCTTGGCTGGCTGTTCTTGCTGATCTTCTGGGGGAGGGGCCTGTTGCCGTGGTTCCCAAATGTCTTTGCGGGAGGTGGAATTGCCCCGCCCTTGCCTGTCTGGGCTATGTAATCTGCTCCGGTTTGCTCTTAGGAGCTTTTGTTCCCTGCAAGCTTCCCATGCAGCTTTGGAGGATGAGAGTGAAAATAGTGGCCTCCCACTCTCTGCCCCTCAGGAGTCGAGAACCCGGGGCCCTGCTCCTCAGTGAGCCCCCAGAGAAAAGCAGTCAATCACTCCCATCTCCCAGGTCTCTGGCCGCACTCCATGCTCACCCGGCCTGTGACCGAGCATTTCTATCTCTGGCACCCCACTCGGTGTGGAGTCTCCAAACCCAGCAGATACCTGCAGTGCGCTCCTGTGCCGCTCCTCCTAGGGGAGGAAGGGGAGTCTCCCCAGATCTGCTGCTTGTTGGGTCCCTGCTGGAGGAACAGTGGCCCGACTGTGCCGCGGATCAGCGTTTATGGCCACCCCGAGCTGAGACCCCGCTCCTCGGCTCCGTCTCCGCAGCTGGCTTACCCACTCCAATACCTGGGAGCTCTACCGCACTCAGGCACCCCCGGTCTTTCTGTGACCCTGAGGGTCCTGAGACCACACTGTCCCGTGAGGGTTCCACCCCCCACTTAGCCACTGGAGCAATGTCCCTCAGTGGAGCTGACTTCTAGAAGTTCCAATTTTGTGCTCCGCTGCTCTATCACTTGCCAGAAGCGGCTGACTGAGGCCCCCTCCCCCGCCGTCTATCCTTCTGCATATCGCCTTGGATTCTCTTTTCCGCACGTCCTACCTTCCAGAAAGTGGTCACTTTTCTGTTCAGAGAGTTGTTGCTATTATTTTCTTCGATCTCCTGTTGAGTTTGTAGGTGATCAGAATGGTTTGATCCCTATCCAGCTGAATTCCTGAGACCAGACAGAATCCAGGTCTCCTACTCCTCCACCATCTTGCTCCACCTGTCCCTTTACTCTGGATTCTAATGACTCCTTTCCCTCCCAAGTGCAAAATATATGCAGTCCCTCACAAGACTCCCCAAGTTTTATCTCATTATATTATCACAATCAGGTTTAAAGCCTAGCATTTCATCATCTAAATCAGGTCCAGGTGTGAATGAGACTCCTCAAATAAGGTGCTTCTTAATCTGAAAATCTGTACATCAAAGAGATGTGCCTCCCACACATTCAGCATAGACTGGGAGACATGATAATTATTATAGACATATCCATTTAAAACAGGAAATAGGCACATGAAAGTCATTGTTCTACAGCAATGTGAAATCCAGCTCGGCTCAGGTGATGATTGATCTGCTTTGGTTGCAGGAAACATATGCTGGTTAAGGCCCAGTTCTGCCCCCTGGGGTTGTTGACTTCTGGTTTTGGCTCTATCCTTTGGGGCTCCAAACTGAATCATTCCTTCTTTTCCATAAGCAATGGCCAAGCTCTCAGCTGAGTAAATTTTACAGCCTGCTTCCTGCTCATAGAAATTTGATGCCTGAGATACCTTTTCATTGTAGCTGTCTCTTTGAGTACAAGTTGGTACAATTATTTAAAAAATTTGTTCATTTTTATGTATCAAGTTATAAATCTGTTCATTTGCTAATTGTGGGCCCACACCCACATTTTTTTTCTGAAAGGATCCCTTCTCTAGCTCACAACTTTAAAGAATCCTTGTCTAGTAAAGAGTATCTAAAAGGCAAGCCCCTTAGATTCATAGCAGACCTTTTTTCTAGGCAAGAAAATCTAAGTAGGATACCCTTAAGATTTTTTAAAAACATTTTATCTAGCTAAGAGGTTATAGAAGGCATGCCCTTATTATTCTTAGAAGTCATTTTTTTTCCTGGTGGAGAAGGTCTACAAGGAACTGCCTTAAATCTTTCTGAAGCCTTAACAAAAGGTTTTACAGATGCTCTCTCAATCTGAAATTTATCCTGAGGCCACATTTTACAAAAAGAGCCCTGATTTGATCTTTGTCCAGATGCCATTTCTTACTTTGAGAAAGTTGTGCTGTCTGGGAAGACTAGGTGTGAGAAACAATTCTATATTTTAAACAAGCAAGTCCTTGTTTTTTATATTTCCTTTAAATTCTGATAAAAAATTTAAGTCTTTTCTGTAGCTGTAATTTCTCTATATTTTTTCATATCCAGCTAAAATAAAATAAACAAGTTGGCATTTTTTCATATTCTTCCAGGAAAAAAGAATCCTGAGCTGTATCAAATATCTCATTAAGTAAATTTTTGATACCCAAACAGTAATGCACCATGGCAAAAATGGTCAGAGCAGTGTATCCAGAATGGAGGCAAAACGGAGTACATTATCTGTGATTTTTAAAACACTGAAACGATCTAAAAGTCATTGTTTATATTATCACCTTTGAACAGCAATTCTTAAACAATGTCACTGTGAAAATTCTCTGCTAGTGCAGACCACTCCACTACTCTCTCTTGTGGTTATGTTGGGATATCACTTTCATGGTTATGTTAGGTTATATGGCAAGAGGGTTTTGCAGATGTAATTAAGGTTTCTAATCGAATGAGTTCATCAGAAGTAATATCCTGGTTGGTCCTGACCTAATCATATGAGCTCCTAACAGGGAGTCTAGAGGTTAGAGACAGAAGTCAGAGAGATGCAGTCCTGTTCACCTTGAAAACACACATTTTCAGGTCATAAAGTGCCTATGAGGGCCATGAGACTTCAGCCTTCTTCCCTGACAGAGAGCCAGACATACAGATGTTGTGAGATAATAAACAGATATTGTTTTAAGCCACTAAATTTATGGTAATTTGTTATACATCAATAGAAAATTAATCCATTTGGTTTAAATTTTGTTATGCTATGGTTTTCTCTGGGATAATGGTTAGGAATGTTGAATGATGCTAAGTTATAAAATTCATTGCACTGTAACATAATTACCAACTATTTAAGTGTTAAATTTCTAAAGTGGAACAAAAATGCTCTTGGAGATAAATATAACCTCCTTTGGAAATACAGATGATGAAGCAAGTACTTATCCCTGAAGGTTTTGAAGCAAGCTGCATCATGTAGACATTTGAACTAGGCCTTTAAGGATGAGTAACAGCTAGGCTGGCTGACAAAGGAGGAAAGGATATTTGTAGAATGAACAGTATGAGTTGTCCCCCAGAGTGAAAGTCAGATGCTTGGGATTATGGAAGAGAAACAGATTGAGCATTAAGGTGATTTTAATGTATAGTTAAGTTTACTGCCAAAAATCTAATTTTAAAGGATACAATATTTTATTTGAGTTTATGGATAAAAACAATGTTTTAAAAATATGGATACCTACAGAAGAAAAGGGGTGGGAAAAAGTAAAATCTGTTGTGTTTCTGGACTTTATTGATTAATATCACCTAAAGTACCAAGGTGGGACAGGTCAAAGGATCTGGAACCAAAAGTAATAAACTTTTACTAATCTATGATAATAGTCTTCATACAAATAATAATCTCTCCAACTTTAAAGGGCTGCATGTTTTATATAGAAAAATATGCTAAAAAGTTTTATAAGAAATCATGAGATTTATGGTGTATATTGAGATGCTGCTTTATGTTTAAAATACTGTCAATATTAACTATATATATCCTATTTAAACATATAACCCATAATAAAATTATTCCACATTTGAAAATCTCATATCAATTATAAAGAAATGCATTATTTAATCATAATGCATAAGAAAACCAATTCAGATTAAACAGGAAGTTTGAAAATACTTCCATTTCTTATTTCATTGTGTATCATTTTTATGTGGAATCATAAAACAGCAAAAAATGCAGTGACAAAAAATGTAACAAATTCTGGACATGCAACAACAATATTGAGCTACTCAGCTAAAAGTAACAAATTACTATTTTTTTCCTCTAATTTAACAGTGCTGCGGAGATGAGCCAGGCACTTGTGCAATCAGCATGAGGAAACTGTGAGTTAGCAATAGTTCAACTTCAAGATTAAGTTTTTATAGTAGAGCTACCTAGTGGGGCTTATATGACAAGGCTCATATTTTTTTTTGCCTCTTCATCCCCTTATCTCGATTTTAAATTTGACTGCTTTACTCTTTAACTATGATGGTTTCTTCTTTCTGAGATGAGGAAATTAAGGCTCAGAGAGAACATTATGGAATCACTGACTCTCCTATTTAGAATGGAACACAGAGATATCTGAGTCACAAGAACCCTGATGTGATATCCTGGTAATGCTGAAGATGTGATTACCTCTTCTTAGAGGCTAAGATACCTTTAGGCTTGATATCTAGAAAGTATTCTCATCTTGAATCAAAAAACATTTGGAGGCACACACTTTAAGTCTTTTGCATAAGACAGACTGTCAGATATGTAAAGATTGCTCTTATCATTGCAGTCCACAGTCCACTAGGCTAATTCTTCAGGTAGGCCAATGGTTGAGTAGGAGTTAAAATTCAGGTCTCATTCTTCCCATACTTTATTTTTTACCCCTACCCCCATGCTGTCTAGGGAACAATCCAGGATATATAAGTAGGAAAGAGCAAGTTGTCATTGCCTTCCATGAAAATCTTACCATAAGATTTTACTAATATTTTTATATAGTTGAATTTTCAAAAAATGCTCTATAAATGTTTACATCCAGAAATTGCAATAGAAATTATGTGATATTAGAAGTTATGTTAGCTTATACGATTTCCAAAAGGTTAGAATGAAGAACTTTACAACTTATGGAAAGCATCAAAATCAGTTTAGCCAACTTTCGAAGAATATTGGGTGTACCCCACCTAGGAAAGAATGAAAGAATATATTGCTTTTAAACCTGCTTCCTATTTGATAAACTATAACAGCCATGCAGTATGTACAGATTGGCTCATGCATTTTTTTCACTTTACTGTAATGGTCACTTATGAAACAATTTAAAGCTACTAGATAGGAAAATATCATGACTATGCTTTTTTAAACTGTCCAGGGAATATAATAATACTTGCAAAGGCATTTTTAGCCAGAACTTTATGATAATCTTAACAGTTGACAGATGTGATTTGCTCCTATTTTGTCATGGTTATTTTGAATGGGGAAAGATGTGCCATTAGAGGAGAAGTTCTGCCAGCTAATTAGCACATTAGATGTTTTATCAGCCTTGCTGGCTTCCTGCACATAGTATGGTTCAGTATATTCAGGTTTATTTGACATGAAAAAATGGCGGTGCCTTTTACATATGAACCAATATAAGTAAAAATATATATTACAATGTGCTATGGTTTGAACGTATGTATCCCTCCTCCCCCATATTCATGTGTTGAAAATCTAATGCCCAATGTAATGGTATTAGGAGGTGTGGGGCCTTTGGGAGGTGTTTAGGTCAGAGCCTGCATGATTGTTATTATGTCCTTATAAAAGAAGTCCCAGAGAGCTAGCTTGTCACTTTTGCCTAAAATACAATGACAAATCTCCGACTGGAAGAAGGCCCTCACCTGACCATGCCGGCACCTTGATTTCAGCCTGTGCCAGCCTCCAGAACTGTGAGAAATAAATTTCTGTGTTTTTTTTTTTTTTTAACTAAAACAGTTGACAATTTTATTTCCACATTTCACAAGACAAATGAAAATTGATTTTTTTTTTTTAATCTCACTACTCCCCTGCCAAAACTATTCTCTCTTTGATAGGAAGGAGGAACAAGTCTTCCTTGTCCTGCTGTTAAAAAATACCTAGAGTCACACCACCATTATCTCCTGGGGAAGCAGAACAAGTAATATAAAATGGATATAAAGGAGGCTCCCCCTTCTCCTCATCTGTCCCATCTTGAGTCATTCCTTGCTGCGTGGGTACCGTGTGGGCAATAGATCTCATCACTGGGGGCCCCGGCATTCCTGGCATGTGGCCTCCCATAGGCAGACTCATTTCAGGAGCAGGTCCCACTGGCATCATCCCAGGAAGAGGAGGGCCCATCATTGGCATCATGGGAGGGCCCCCCCATATAGAGTGCTGGCATCATACCAGCGCAAGGCAGACCCAGGAGACTGGGGGGTAAGTGGGATCCTTGCCTGTGCAGGAGTAGGAGGTATCTTTCCTTATTGAAATACAGCAGTTGTTTTGTCAGTCAGGCTCTGAGCCTGTTCTTCCATCCATTTCTGAGAGTAGTCTTTCACATTCTCTTTGTGTTTCCCACCACTGCAGTGTTTCTTTTTCACAGATGGACAGTCCTGGGTGAGACATGTGTTGTAGTGGTCACAATAAAACGTAGGGAAGTTGCTCTCAAATTTCTGTTTTTAATAAGCTAACCAGTCTGTGATATTTTACAGCCCGAATGAACTAAGACACTGCAAAAGAAATTGTAAATTATGTTCAAGGTAGATTTATATTTCTTTAATTTGTATTTCATTAATTTTAATGTATTTCATATTCCTGTCTACACCTCAAAGTCCAATGTAAATGCCACAAAGTATGGTATGTCTATCAAAAAGGATCAATTGAAGTCTAGAGAATAAATAATACATTCCCATAATTATATGCTATTTTAGCCATTTTCGATAAAGAAAAGGAAAATGCCTCATTATTACACCATATAACATAATAAAGGCATTGTAGAAATAATGTTTCTAAGTAATTTTATAGGGAATACTGAAATAGGTTTATAGTAAATCAACAGTTCAATTTTTAGAAATATATAATTTTGCTATGATCTTGTCAGGGAAGAAATTTTAAGAGATTATGAAAAAAAGATCATTTCTAGCTCCATATGTCTCGGTTCCCAGAATTTTATTCTAAACTCTATAGGCAAAAATAAGAACATCTGAACTAGGACTATGAACTGAATATTCTTGTGAATATTTAGTTTTCAAAATAAGCAATCTTAATCTGGGAATATTGGTCTGCTAGAGTTATTTAACAAATTTAAACTAGACAAATGTGGAAAGCTGTGGACTTGGGAGATGATACACACAAAAACCAAACTAATAGAAAAAAATCTTCAATGAGTTTATGCAGCTCAGTAGTCCTTTCCCCCTTTTGTCTCTTCTTTATTGCTTACCTGGTTCCACAAAGTAGCAATTACAGAGATTGCATTCCTCCCCCATCTCTTCCTGGGGTTGACACATTTCCCCTGCTTAGAAACATTCAGAGGCCTCCTTTTGTCTTAAAGGAGGAAATTTTTACCTGATCTTGCCTATCACAGCCTCTGTCATTAAATGAGACTTTTATATTCACATGCAGTACACCCACAGCTTCTCCAGCTCTGGCTCTTCAAGCATTATAACTAACCCCAAGCTCTGCACCGGTGTTTTGCCTTTCATTTCCCATCTTTACTGTCAGGAATTGTCACTATCCTTTATCTTATGCACTTTACTTTTCTTTTCCGAGTAAAAATTTTCCCCCCAATAATTAAAAAAATATAGGGGTGCTTGGGTGGCTCAGACAGTTAAGCATCTGCCTTCAGCTCAGGTCATGATCCCAGGGTTCTGGGATCGAGCCCCACATCGGGCTCCCTGCTCAGCAGGGAGCCTGCTTCTCCCTCTCCCTCTGCCACTCCCCCTGCTTGTGCTCTCTCTCTCTCTAAAAAATAAATAAAAATCTTAAAAAATATATATTTTCAGGCTTGCGTTGACTAAAAATCAAACAACACATGAATAAAGTCCCTTAGTTTACCACCTATGCCCCCATCACTACCACCTCATCTCCTTCCTTTAAGAACCAAATAGGTTTTAAGAATTATCATTTTTATTTTTTCAGAATTTCATTGTCTCAGTATATCCCACTCCCACTGAAAGCCACACAATCTAGCTTCCTGCCCATTCTCTGCACTGGTATAGCACTCAATAAATTCATCAATGACCTCTCTGCTGCTTCTCCTGATGGCTATTTATAGTAACATCTCATTCAATATTTCAGAATAACTTAAAACTGATGGCTACCCTCTCTGGAAAACTACCCTCCCTGAGTTTCCATGTTAGGGTTCCCCCTTCCTTTTCCTTCTGAATTTCTATCCATTCCTTCTATTTCTTCTTTGCATTTTATCTCGGCACAGTCCTGGGGTTTTTTAATGTTCTCATTCTTCACTCCCTATTCCCTTGGTGATTTGATCCATATCCAGTGCTCTCACTATGACCTATATGGAGATGAAAGCTGGCCTTGTTATCTTTCTCTTCCAATTCACTCCTTTCATTGTTACTTATCTAAAGAATGGCACCATTCCGTGGCATAAGCCAAAAGCACAGGAACAAGCCTGATACCCTTTTCTCTCTCTTGTCACCTTTTATTCAGGGCTTTAACAAATCCTGACAAATTTCCTTTTAAATATTATTGAACTTGACCCTTTTTTCTCCATCTCTACCATAATCACTACCACCCTTATCCAAGCTATCATGATCTTTTGCTTGTATGATGCCATCATGTCCTATCTATCATTATTCACTCAGCCTTTCTTCAATTAGTTCTTTTTTTTTTTTTTAAGATTCATTTATATATTTTAGAGAGTGTGTGCAAGCTGGGGGAGGAGCAAGGGAGAGGGAGAGAATCTCAAGCAGACTCCCCACTGAGAGTAGAGCCTGCTGTGCGGCTTGATCTCAGGACCCTTACATCATGACCTGAGCCGAAATCAAGTCAGAAGCTCAGCTGGCTGCACCAACTAGGTACCCCTTCAATCAGTTCTTTATATTGCAAATGTTAATTTGATTATGTTGCCATGCTCCCCTCCACACACTTAAAATCTTTTGATAAAATCTCATTGTTCTTTGGATAAAGAAAATCTCTTTTAGATGACTTGTAAGGCCCTACATGGTTTCTAACAACCAAAGAAACTCTTTAGTTTCTTTGCGCCATTCACAATGCACTCTTCAATCCTTTGTATCCGATATACTTTCCCAAAATACCTCTTTATTTATTTTTAATTCTCAAATTGCAATTCAAGCATTGCTTTCTCAATGTAGCCTTTTCTTTCTCCGTAACAGTCATCCCACGATGGTCTTTTAGGATCCCGATAACTCTTGTTTTTAGCACTTCCTCCAGTTAGAACTTTGCATTTTTATCAGTTATTATAAAAATATCTACCTTTGCTAGTCAACTATTAGTTCCACCAGGAAAGACATTAAGATTTCTGTTCTTTATTATTACATAATTAATGTTCAAGAAATAATATATTATATGACTTAATGAATGCCTCCTATATTAGTATCCAACTCTTTTTTGGAGACTTTATAACTCTTGGCTCCATCCCACTTTTATAATTCTGCTTTTGACTCTTTGGTACTGGCATTTGCTTCTTCTCTCTCATTCTTGACTCTTAAGCATCCTTCTAAGGACTTGATTGGATTTGCCCTCTGCCACTCTATTCTGAGAAATTGTAGACTAGATAGTGCACCTAGTCTACCATAATTCTAGAATTTGGACAGAGCCTTGTAGTTACTTAAAGTTGCCATTCTCCTTTTCCCTTAGGAAAATCTTGCATTCATGCCTTTTACTCAGTTTACTTCAAATCTAGGACATTTGCTCAATAAGATTTTTGAATGTATTGTTTGCCTCATTATTTACAGCCTTCTTCTTTCCATTTAATTATAGCTACTCCTCAGTCTCTTTGGTCCTTTGAATTTCCTTTATTTCTTATCCTTCTGATAACTCATCTATAGTTACAGCTTTGTTTTTAGCAGCTTTATTAAGACATAATTCACATACCCATATAATTCACTATTTAAAGTGTACAATTCAATAGTTTTTAGCATAAACACAGGGTGCATATCTATTACCACAATCATTTTTATAAAATTTTCATTACCTGAAAAATAAACCATGCACTCCCCAACCATCACCCTGCAATCTCCTAACTCTTTCCTGCAGCTCTAGGAGACCACTAATCTACTTTCTGTTTCTATAGATTTGCCTATTCTGGACATTTCTTTTAATTGGGATTACACAATATGTAGTTCTTTGTGACTGGCTTTTTAGTCATGATTTTAAACTACATCGCCATGTAATTTCTCAATAATTTATCTCTAGACATAACTCCTCTTCTGATTTCCAGTAATGAATTGACAAATGTGTGGTCTATATAAATCATTCTTGCTGCAGCATAACATACCTAAAGTAGAATTGGCAACTTGACTTTTCAGCTAGCTTGCCTGCCTTTATTCCTTATTTCTGTCAAGGCACATGACATCACAGGCATGTTCTCTCCCCAACCTCATGCTTGCTATAACACCATCTATTCAGCATAAAGCATATAGGTGTTTGTAAAGTGCTTTTTGAATGAATGAGTGATTTGATAGATGCATCAGTTACTTTCTGTTCAGTCTCATAACAGTTGGCCAGGCCTTCATTTCCTCAGGCGTGCTTCCAAGGGTCTTTCTACCCCAATAAGACTTTGATTTGTTATTCTTAATATATCACCCTCCCATTCCTATTTAGCATATAGTTATTGAGTTTTTGCTGGGAAAGCAGACTCATGCAATTCAAAGAATATAAGATTTAATGTTATAGGGTCTGGATCTAAGTCCTAATTTAATTACTTTCCTGCTGTGTGATTATGGGTAGGGTACTTTGGCCTTTTTTTGGATTCAAGTTCCTTATTTGTAAACTGGGAGAGGTGACATTAGTATTGCCTGTCCCACAGGAGATCGAAACATTTGCAGTACCTGCCATAGTACCTATTATATTGCAGGTACTCACAAATATTGGTGGCAAAAGATATTTGAATGTGTTTGTGTGTTATAAAATACTCTCTAATTTACAAGTATTAATTTATTAATTAACC